AAAATATATATAAAACACACATATAGAGTGGGGTTTTTTTGGAGGTAGACAAGCAGAATGGCTTGCACCCAGGAGGAGGAATGCTCTTGTGAGAGGCAGAAGAGCCTTTTCCACCCAACCTCTGTTGCTGAGCAGCTTCCCAGCCTTGGGAAAGCAGCTGCTCCCCACATTCCCTCATTCCACTCAACAGAGGACAGTAACATCATCATCATCATCCCCACCTGAGAAATCATGGGCTACCACTCAGAGACTCAAATCCCATCCATCCTCTTCCTACCCCCTGCCTGCAGCCAGTGGGGCACATCCCAGATCTGCTTTTGCTCACAGGGGAGATAAGCAAGAGGCACTTCTTAAAGCTGATCCCTGTCCTGACCTTCATCCTCTCCGAGGCTTTTTTTTGGGGCAGCTGTAGTAAAGGTTAAACTGCAACACAAACAAACAGAGCAGCTTTTCCTCAGACTGAATCATCCAAGTGGTGCAGGTTTGCCATTTATCCATAAATACCCTGACAGCTCATTATCCAGGCATGAATACTGGACGCCTATGATACACTTGACTCCAAAAAAGAAGTCAAAAAACCAAACAAGCCCAAAACAACAACCGCCTTAATTTCAGACAAAACAGGATGTACAATTTTATTCCTGCGCAGAGCTGCTTTATATTTATTGCCTCTAAACTTCTGGGGAGGGAAAGAGGGCTGGAACTTCCTTTTAAACTTGTAATTAATTGTTTGCAGAGGAAAAAAAGAAAGCAAAAAAAAAAAAAAAAAGGCAAAGCCCTTTGAAATGTTTCCACTTTAAACCGGAGCTGAATGTGCCGCAGAGGCCCTGGCTGTTTGTTCCTGGGAAGTGCCCAGCTGGGGATGTGTGGCCACCCTGGGCAAGCCCAGATGTGGCTGAGCATCCCTTGGAAGGGGAAGGTGGAGGAACCTGCCACCACCCTGAGCAAGCAGTGCCCAAATCCCAGAGCCATCTTCCAGCATGGCCACGCAGCTGCTTTTCAAATGCTTTTTCTTTTTGGTGCGTGCATCGCTTTTTGTTTTGTAGATGAAGGGATGTCTGTGTGCTAAAGAAAGGGGTTCTTCATATTTAAAAAAAAAAAAAAAAAGGTGGGGAGGGGAAAGTAGAAAAACTGATGTCTTTGGAGCCGGCAGCTCCAAGGGCAGAGGGGTTACTCAAGGCCACCCATTGCCAGCTGAAAGCCTGAGTGCACAGTGAGGAGCTGCATTTAGGAAAAATCCGTGCTGCTGCTCAGTTTGGTGCAACAGCAACATTTCCCTTTAGAGAATGGATGAACGGGGACAGCTGCCTCCACACTGTGGTCCAGGATGGGTGTGGACCGCCAGCTCAAAGCACATGGAGCTGCCACTGGGAGGTCAGCTGGGTTTTGGGTCAAGAGATGGGCCAAAGAAACAGGGCCAGGGAGGCCCTGGGAGACAGGGCTGTGTCTTGGGGAGGGCAGTGAAGCGCCCTGCTAAATGAGCTCTTTGTTTTTGGGCAGCCGGTGCTGGCAGAGTCAGGGGAAAGCTGACATGGAAACTCGCTTGGGAACTCCTGTGGCCAGGGATGGACGGCTCCGCCTGACAGCAACTCTGCATGGGGAGGCTCTGTGCCACTTGTGTAAGTTTTAATCCAACACGAGGTCCTTTAATCCGTCTTGGCTTCGAAAGAGCCAGTTTGCAAGGGTGGGGAGCATGTGCCACTCCTCCGGAGTTACGGGCGGCCGTGGGTGGAAAACAAGCTCCCTTTGAGGGCAGGTTTGCGATGGCACCGCAAACCGTCGGCAGGCGCACAGGGCTTGCCTGGCTGAGGGGAGGGGTAAAGGCTGCCAGCCCGAGTGTGAGGAAACCAAAACAGAGGGGTTGCCTTGGCAATGCTGGCTTGTCCACATCCTGTGCACTGCAGAGCGACCGCAACCGGGGATGGAGGTAGAGTTTGCAGGAAAGCTGCAGTTTGCTAGAAACTGCTAAGCTGGGTCACCATGGCAGAGGGGAGAGAGCTGGAGGTGTTTCAGGACCTGATTTTGCTGGTTAAGGTCTCTAGGCTCAACCCTCAACAGGCTCTTATGTCTGCATGAAGTTCCCTCCAGCCTAACAAAGCTCAACCTGCTCCTCTCAGCTGAGATGCTGCCTGGCTCAGGCAGGAATGGGGCTGCTCTGAGGTGCCCCCTGCACCCATGGTGAGAGCAGGGGTAGCTCCGGGGGACAACTGACAACTTGCTAAGTAGTGCAGAGCAGGAATCACGTTATTAAACACAACCATTTCCTTCTGTTACTGGCTTTATGTCAGCTTTATACCGACTTTCCATGGCACTGACAGCTGTGGGTCAGTCTGGGAGAGGCTAATTTCTCTGTCGCAGCCTGTGAGCTCCCTGATACACCCAGCAGAGACACAGCTGTGCTGTCACGCGAGTGGCATCTCTTTTTCCCCACTTGCACCTGCAGACTTAAAGGAAAACTGGATGAAACCTGACACCGAGGGTGTGCAGTTTCCTTAGCAAGGATTGCACGTTGCTGTTTCGGAAATGGTGACTAAGAAGAGTTTTGCCGTCGATCTCCCAGAACTCACAGCAAGCTACGGAGACCTTCCTCACACGTAAAAAGCAAACACCAAAAGCCACCACCCAGCAAACACGACCAGCTACAGCT